CCAGAACCAAAACACAAACACAAACGAAAACCAAACCGAAACTAAAACTAAAACAAAAACGCAAACACAAATCCGCTGTCCGCGGTCACATACAGAATTGAGCTTTATAATATAATATATATATATAAATATATATATTCTTTCTCTCTCTCTCTCTCTCTCTCTCTCTCTCTCTCTCTCTCTCTCTCTCTCTCTCTCTCTCTCTCTCTCTCTCTCTCTCTCTCTCTCTCTCTCTCTATATATATATATATATATATATATATATATATATATATATATAGGTGTGTGTGTATGTGTGTGTAATAGTTGCATTAAACTATAAATACTAAGGCGTGTTTAAGGAGAAATTTTTTTTTAAATTAATTAAGAATTTCTAATTCTGTTTTATTTAATTTTAGCATATTTAGGCAGACATACTATGCAATTGTAACATACATAAATCTAAGTGAGAATGACATTGGTCCACATTTTGAAATATAGTTCTTGTTTTCTCACCTAGCAAGACCCGAGCTTGATGCTGTTTGACATTGGTTGTAACATCGGTCTATACACAATGTGGGCAGTGGCGCTGGACAGACGGGTGGTGTGTGTGGAGATGATGATGCAGAACGTTGAGCGGGTCCAGATGGCGTTAGAGCAAAGCAACCTCGGTCATATGGTGACCATTGTTAACAACGCCCTCTTCAGTGATCACCGAGAGCTGGAGATAACGCTGTACAGGTTGGTTTGAGACGAATAGCAAATGTTAGATTTATTTAATTTATGGCTTACAAACCATTAAAAATTGCTCGACGTGTATCCAGCTCTTTTTCTACGACACATTTAATTAATACACATTTTAACTGGTTTCATACTTGGACTATCTTCGTAACAGTTAGAGTTGGTTTAGGGTTATATATATTTTTTTTCAAACGTCATAGACATATACACACAAATAACTATTTGAAAATTTAATATATTCTAAAACCCGGGCAGCGCCTAGATTATGAAGCTAATCAAACAAGTCACAGTCCTTTATACATGTTTTTCACATAAACCAGTGCAGAACCTCGCTGGGTAGCCTAGTACCTGATTAAAAATAGACAGGCAGGCGTAAAAACATACTTTCATATTGGAATATATATATATAAAATTTCATCATTTAATTTATTACTATTTCAGAGACATTTGGGGTCTGCCTAGGCTAAACGAATCAAATGTATATCAGAAAAACTTGATAGACACATCACGAGGCAAGCTGAAAGTAAACACCATATGCATCGATGACCTGACTCCTCTAATGGCAGGAAAACATGTATACATTAAAATTGATATCGAGAACGCTGAACACTTCGCACTTAAGTGTGCGCATCGTTTCTTTGAAACTGTGGACGTACGCATCGTTCAGATGGAGTGGCACAGACGCACAGAACAAGAAATCGTATCGATATTGGAATTTATGAATACTTATGGGTTCGCTGCTTCGTATCATAGCACCGTTTACAATCCGGTCGATTTAAAGACAAATACAAAAAATTTAGATGTATTTTTTATGAAAAAATCTTTTTTTAATATCGATTTTTAAGTTGGAATCATCAATTGAAAAATATTATCTCCATCTCTAAGCTTACTGTCAGTTACCGTCTCTCTCGCTTAAAATTCGAAATCTCGGGAGAAATATACATGGAACAGTTTTGAACATGATTGCCATTTTATTAAAATTAAATCGGTCACTATTTTTTACTACACCTAGCTTCAAAATAAAAAAAATATTATCAACAATGCAGCAAATATACAAAAATTAACTAATAATAGGATCACATTAAGTACCAATGGGCCTTGGCTATTAATAATATTAGATTTAAATTGTAACTACGTTTAGGACAACTTATTATAGATTCGAATAAATAATAACAAACTTTAGGCCTACGCTTTTTTTTTTAAAATCAGAATTTAACGTGGGCAGTATTTTTCTCTAAGTAAGTCTACATCTTTTAGTTAACCATTATCATTGTTAACGATTTTAAATAACTTAATAAAATCGGAAGTACCTTTCCTAAATTTTACCGATTTAGTAAAAATATTCACATTTGGTTTGAAAAATATTAGTTTGCAGGCAGGAGAACGAGAATTTGGTGATTTACTCACAAGCCGTATTCTCTGCTTGATGATTATCATATTTTGAACTTAAACGCTAAACACATTTTATTTTATTTTGATCAATATAACGTAACCATGATTTTGTGAGGTAATACAAATAATTTTTTGTGTTTTTATAGTGCATTTAAGTAACTGGTTTAGCATATATGTAATATTTATTGATATTTTTAACATTTTATTTTATGCTTTGGGGTTTATTTTTTATAATATGTAATAAAATATGGTTGATTCGTCAATATATTGTTTTTCCGCCTTAAAACAAGTAAGGTTATTAGTTAGAAGAATATTAGTTGCTAATACACCTTATGCTGACTTTAATAATATGTATATATTAATTTATCAATTTATAAATTTTGTTTAGAATTTCTAGGTAGTAGGTTAGATACCAAATAGAGCTGGTTGAACACAGGGATTTTTGGGTGAGCGCCGTGCACTATACGTTCCAATCACACTGTCGAACGCAATTTGTTTTTATTATTTCGAAAAAAATTGTCATAGACATTATTTTCCTCAAACAAGTTGGGCGTATATAGATATAAGGCACTAAAATCTATAGTATAGAGATATAAAGCTCGACGTTTAGATAATAGAAACAAATTGTTATAAAATGGGGGATTTATCATTATACAAAGTCGACTATGCACAAGAATAGTCAGATTTTCTTCCAGGCATCTCTTCGGGAGGGGGGGGGGGTCCGCCCCCAAATACAATGTCTGGAAGAAACACCTCCAATAGTACGACTTGATTTGTGATGATTATGCTTGAAGGAAAGTGCTAGTTGTAAATAGATTACTGGTACATAAACGAAAGTCTTGTATGGGATATTGCCATTTAAATATCTGGGAATTAAATGTCATTATTAACACAAATTAAACCAGGTAGGCCTATATTATGCACCTTCAATGGTAGATCATTGTTTACCACATAAATAAAACTAAAAAAAGTAATTTTGATTAATACACTGATTTTCGTTTGTTTCTTTTGTTGTCTTAAACTTTTTTTTCCCTATGAAAGCTAATAAGTTTGTTTATGTAAACTTCTACAGTGAAAAGAGATTGGGGAGGATGGGTCTTTGTTCATTTTATTTTTTTTAAATTTGGATTTCAGTATGCCGAGGCTGTTAGTCTTGTGATATATGTCTGGTTAAAAAAAATAAACTCATGAAAAGGGACTAAAGAAAGAAGATCAAAGATAAATGTAGGATATCATTATTTTTCAGAGGTTACGACCACAATTGGTGTTCAAAGTTGAATAGTTTTGGTAAGTGATACCAGATGTAGCTAATTTAAAAAAAAATTATTCCTACATGTAGCGGATTAACGGAGAGGCTGAGAGGGTTGTAGCCAGGGATCCCCAATTTTCAGGGCCCCCAAAATTCCTCTTACAAACTCATTGTAAAATTAATTTTACAGCTTAATCGTTAAATTTGCATATTTTTCTGTGATATAAAATTCGATGCTTTAGGTGATGTGCTTATAAAAATATCACCACTATCTCGATTTTGTGTCATGATGTGTTTCTTGCTTTGTTGGATACTTTGTCAATATTTGTATTAAGGAAATAATAAATTTAAAAAAAAATGTTTTAAATGATGTTATAATACTATTATTACCCTATTAACGAATAGTTTAAATCCGTCACCATATTATATTTGGCATCATTGGCTAGCTGTATTTCTTATGTATTTACAGATCACACAGATATTTTTATGACATACTTTTCGTTACTTTACCTTTTTTTTCTCGGTTTGCAGGTTTTGCCACCCAAAATCTTACTACTTTTCTATGTATTAAACAATAATTTTCAGTAGGTTTTCTTTATGCAAAATAAAACTTTTGTCACGAAGGAATTGTGATGGCTTTCATAGAAAAAATGTTTATGTTAAATAACATGCACATTTTTAAAGTTTTGCATACTTAAAAAGAAACGATTTTTCTTACCTTGTAGCATTCTGACAAGAAATGATTTTAAAAATTTGTCGTTACGAAAGTTTTAAAATATACTGAAATATAACCTTTTTAAAGGTGATTGTGATTAGTGAAGAATAAAAAAGCATTAGTGTTCTTAAAAAGGACCGAAAATTCAAAATGGCGAAGGTTTTTGGGTTACCATGACAACCAAAATGGTTTTCAATCATTTTTGTTGTTGTTTTATTCTAGCTTTAATGTGCCAAACATGGTTAAAGTATTCAAAAGGCTTTAGATCTTTAATTGTAAAAAAAAAATTGAAATAAATGTTTACATTTTATCTTCTATCTTGTGTATTTTCACTAGCATTTGTTTACTTATAATTAAACTATGTTTTTTCATTTAACAACACACACGCTCTCAAACACAACCATACACACACGCACACACATACACATATATAGGCTATATATATATATATATATATATATATATATATATATATATATATATATATATATATATATATATATATATATATATATATATATATCTGTATTTATATATATATATATATATATATATATATATATATATATATATATATATATATATATATATATATATATATATATATACTAGCTGCATATCCGTGCTACGCCACGGGGAATCTTTTTACAAGCTTTTATTTAACTCACTTCCTCTGTCTGTCTGTCTGTCTAGATCGAAACGCCGAAGCGAAATTTCGGACACTTCTACTTGACCGATACGGTTCACACTTGGTACGTGGGTCGAGACATGAAGACAATGCAATCTGAAATTAAATTTGACTTAATTGGATGCCTAATTAATTTTTTATGAATTAATTAAAATTTGGACCGAATTAGTAGGCATGCCTATCCAACCACACCACACGCGTCATCACGTTCAATAGCTGCGCCATCTCGTTCAATGGCTGCGCCATCACGTTCATGTAGCAGCGCAATGGTTTTTAGTCATGTAACTCTATTGTAAATAAAACATGTAAAGTAGTGAAAAAAAAATTCATAAAAACGTTTTAATAACACGCTTTTATGTAATAATGCACTAAAAAGTAGAAAATAAATTATAGACTACTATTTAAATAACTATAAAGAAAAGCGTGGGTGTCTTCTTTAACATTATTAAAGGTATCCAATAGATACTAAAGTGACCCACGCTTTTCTTTATAGTTATTTAAATAGTCTATAATTTATTTGTTACTTTTTAATGCATTATTACATAAAAGCTTGTTATTAAAACGTTTTTTATGAATTTTTTTATAAGTACTAAATATGGAAGAGAGCAAAACTAAACACAAACGCTTATACGCGTGCTTAGAAACAGTAGGTACATGAATATTACCTCAGAGTTTACCGTGCACAATAACGGGGCCCCGGCGGATGCGCCTGATTCACTTTAGTGACTTGACTTAGTCCTCTGTGCTCCTTGTGTAACATAGGGTCTACAAAATTTCTTCCATATGTTCATGTTCATGTTCATGTTCATGTTCATGTTCATGTTCATGTTCATGTTCATGTTCATGTTCATGTTCATGTTCATGTTCATGTTCATGTTCATGTTCATGTTCATGTTCATGTTCATGTTCATGTTCATGTTCATGTTCATGTTCATGTTCATGTTCATGTTCATGTTCATGTTCATGTTCATGTTCATGTTCATGTTCATGTTCATGTTCATGTTCATGTTCATGTTCATGTCCATGTCCATGTCCATGTTTATGTCCATGTCCATGTCCATGTCCATGTTCATGTTCATGTTTTTGTCCATGTTCATGTTCATGTTGTTCATGTTCATGTTGTTCATGTTCATGTTCATGTTCATGTTCATGTTCATGTTCATGTTCATGTTCATGTTCATGTTCATGTTCATGTTCATGTACATGTACATGTTCATGTTCATGTTCATGTTCATGTTCATGTTCATGTTCATGTTCATGTTCATGTTCATGTTCATGTTCATGTACATGTACATGTTCATGTTCATGTTCATGTTCATATTCATATTCATGTTCATGTTCATGTTCATGTTCATGTTCATGTTCATGATCATGTTCATGTTCATGTTCATGTTCATGTTCATGTGCATGTGCATGTGCATGTGCATGTGCATGTGCATGTGCATGTGCATGTGCATGTGCATGTGCATGTGCATGTGCATGTTCATGTTCATGTTCATGTTCATGTCCATGTTCATGTTCATGTTCATGTTCATGTTCATGTTCATGTTCATGTTCATGTTCATGTTCATGTTCATGTTCATGTTCATGTTCATGTTCATGTTCATGTTTATGTTCATGTTCATGTTCATGTTCATGTTCATGTTCATGTTCATGTTCATGTTCATGTCCATGTCCATGTCCATGTCCATGTCCATGTCCATGTCCATGTCCATGTCCATATCCATGTCCATGTCCATGTCCATGTCCATGTCCATG